TACTCTAAATATTTATATTTCAGTATGTGAGGACATCCTATGGGCATTCGTGTGAAGATTGTGCTTAAGTGCTTGATAAGTATAGAGCTAGAATGAAAGTTTCTGGCAATATTGAGCCCATAGTCTGTGTATTTTATATAACAAATTTGGAACTAGTTGAAGAACAATTATTTAATGGCTGATCATCACAAGCTCTTTTATTTCTCTCTGACCTTTGAAAGTCTGGTCTCCAGTCCTTCCTTTCCAGAAAATACCCTTATAACATGACTAAAGGTCATTTTTACACCTTTGACATCACTAGTTGTGAGAATCTTTGGCAGGCATGTGAGACTTAGGCCTATTGGATGAAAATGACCCTGGTTGCAGGGCAAGTCAGAGTGCTACTTTTACATTTAATAGAGTATTTATGCAGCCCATCTGCCTCCATTCCAAGTGCTGCTTCACTTCAGTTCTTTGGAATGACATATAAGTGGGATCTCCTGGAATGGCACCTCTAAATTCTGGTGTCAACATCTAAGGTCAGAGGCGTATTTCCATTTTCCTGCTCCATAAAGACTCCATCTGCTAAAATGCTAAGCACTCATGTGATATGACAGGTGTCTTCAACTGCTACTATAGTCAATTGTACACCTTACAGGATTGACTCCCTAAGTGCCCAATTCCCACTGAAGTTAATGGGCATCCTTCCTACAACCCTAATCTACATGGCTCCATCGATGGAGCCATGTAGTCTAGACACAGCCCAGGAGACAAAAAAAAAAAAATCGTTTGACCGTTTTTCACTTTTACAAGTCAACAGCACTTTTGTCACCAAAACTTCCCAGTTAAACATCGCCCTACAGGCTAATCCTCACGCTTAAAACAAAACCAGCCAAGTTCTAGCACATTTATTTTCTCTTGGTAATGGGCCATTATCTCTGTGTCTGGCATCTTCCTTGTGAAACTTGGTGGGCTGGAAATAGGCTTTTCCCAACAGGAACACCTTGATAATAAATCCACAATCCCTATTCCGAACTTCAGACGCTGAAGTGATGCATGCACACAAATAGGAGAAACACATTCGGTAAATTGCAACCTTTCCAATGGTATGTCACAAGAGCCATCTTGCATCAAGCAGCTGTGACCGATGAAACATTCGTATCATAAACATGATTTCACAGAGCACAGGGAATATTACACAAAAAAAGGGACAAGCTAGATCCTGGTGTCTCAAGATGCTGGAAACAGCTTGTGGGGGATGCAAGCCATTAGAATGAATTTGACCTGCCCTCCGACTCCTCCAGATTAAGCCAGACACTGGATTCATGCAGAATAGTTGGAAGATTAGGACAGCGTGAGAGTTGCTTATGGTCAGCCTTGTCCCCTTCTGGCGGCCCTGTAGAGCCCCCCCAGCAGCAGTTGCCAGGGTGAAGAGTGGCTGGGAGCCAGACCCAAGACAATACCTGCAAAGTGAGCTCGTTAAGAAGACTGGACAGACAGACGCCTTGGGAGTCAAGCAGCAAGTGCCTGCCCTTGGAAGAACTCTCTCTGAAGCAGCATTAAGAAAGGCGAGGTGATGCCTAATTGGCTGCAGGAGAGGGATAAATAGGAGGCATCTTGCAGAGGGATCCCGGGTTTTCATCTTGTCATCATGGGAGCATCGATCCGGATCAGCAGAAGCCCGGCTCCATCCCTCCCCCATCTAACTCCCCTGGCCAGTGCAGTTAGGGGGAGCAACTTTTGGTAACAACAAGATGGAGTGTGCCTGTGTGTGTGTGTGAGAGAGTGCATGAGTGTGATGTGTCATATGCATATGAGAAGTATTGATTATTCTATGTGTGATCAATACATGTGGCGTGTTGCCTTATCCCCCTGAAAAAGATCCTGAGTACTTCTTTTAAGTACAACACTAAGATCCTGGCATCTCACGACATTGGAAACAGCTTGTTGGGGATGCAGGTCATGGGAATGAGTTTCACCTGCCCTCTGGCATCTCCAAATTCAGCCAGGCACTGGATTCATGCAGAATACTTGGAAGGTTAGAACAGCGTGAGAGTTGCCTATGGTCAGCCTTGCCGGGCCCAGCCGGGTCTTGCAAAACAAGGCTGGTAACACGGTAATTGGTCAGGGGCTTTGCTGGGCAGCAGCTTTAACCTGCAGCATGAGTTGTATGTTGCACACTCGCAGACACAACAAACAGGAATTCCCAGGCTTGGGCGGCAGGTGCCCGATGGGGTGACTCGCTCATAGAACTGCTCCAATATTCACCACACCTAGGGTGTGCCTGGCACGTCCTCCCACCTGCCCTGGCAACCACTGTAGAGATAACCTTAACGACAGCTTGGAGAGCCCTGGAGCTGTGAGCGACTATTTCAGATGATGTCATCCTGCAGGCGGGTTCTCCGCACCCTATATATCGCGGGGCTCCGTCTGTGGGGTTTACTAAGGGAGCAGAGCACCGAGAGCCCAGTGCAGACCAGACAGCCGCCTCGCCATGAAGATCACAGGGGCCGTTCTGCTCCTCTCTCTGGCCCTTTACTGCTCCTACTCAGGTGAGTCACTGAATCCTCCTCTGATACCTCTGCCCTGGAAGGACGGGGTCGGCCTCCCCCGTTCTACACCAGGAGTCGCACCTCCATTTTGGCTGATTCCAGGAGCAGCTGGTTTGTTTCTGACATGCCCCTGCACCATCCTGACATGGAGCACCAGGCTGGTCCCATGAGCTCCGTAATCCCCTTGGCTGCTATATTTCTTCTCAGCCACGGCTCTCCCACAGGAAAAGTTTCTTCATAGCGCCTGTTCATTAGGTGTTGCTTAATGCACTGAATTAATTGAAGTCAACGATACTTAATTAGCATGACAAGATCTTCAATGGTGCCAAAGCAGAGGAGTTCAGATCCTTTCCAAACATTTGCCGCTTTTTAAATTCCACCGCTGGAGACCTTCTTACCCACATCTCCTTAATACAGAAAATTCTCCCCTGGGGACAGTGGTTAGAGATTCATTAAGGAACAGAGTCAGATGTTTGGGATGAACTGTCTCCCTAGACTTGAGTGATTGCTGATGTCATTTTTGCTATGACTTCATTCTGAACAGAGAAATAAAGGAGAGCGATCGGAGACAGTCGTCAAGGTAATTCTGGCTGTCAACAGGGGCTATGTCTGGACTGCATCTCTCTGTCAACACAGGGATGCAAATCAAGCAAATCAAAATTGCTAATGAAGCCGAGTTTAAATACCCCGCACCTCATTAGCATAATCATGGCTGCCGCTTTTTTTCAAAATGGAGTTTTTTCGAAAAAAAGTCAGTTTAGACACAGCTCTGTTGAAAATAAACCCTTTTTCGACAAATCCTGTATTCCTCAAAAAATGAGTTTTACAGGATCTGTCGAAAAAGGCTTTATTTTTGACAAATCTGAGTCTAGACTGCCGTTTTTTTTAAAAAACTGTTTAAAAAAAAGCGGCGGCCATGTTTATGCTAATGAGGTGTGGGATATTTAAACCTGGGCATCATTAGCAATTTTGATGTGCCTGATCTACATCTCTGTGTCGACAGAGGTGTAGTCTAGACACACCCAGTGTGTTGTGAGAAAGACACTTCGTACCAGGACTTCCTGGGCCGGTTAGGGAGCTGCATGCCGTGTCCTACACAGGGGTGAACGCTTTTCACTGACTTTCCCGCCAACGCTTGCATCACTGATTCTGGTCTGTCTGGGTTTTGTTCCAGATGCTGCTGGCAGCTCTGGTAAGGTAAGTCGATCCCCCCGTTCGTTAACACTCTCTGGTGTGAAGCATCCCAGGTACAGTCTCTGGCTTAGAAACAGGCGAGAACTAATGAGTCAAAGCAGGAGCAGAGTCTGCCTGGTGCCTGACCATGCAGAGACTGAATCTCAGGCACTGAGCACGCCTGGGAACAGCGACACTGCAAGAAAACACCAGTGGGTCAGCTGACTCGGGCTAGCAGGTCTTGTGCTGCAGGGCTAAGATCAGTGCGAGATGTTTCGGTTCTGGGACACACTCGGGTACCACAGCTCGGGGTGAACACACGTCTACATGGCAGTGAGTAGACACTAGACACTTGGCCCGAGGGGTGGATCCCAAGCGCTGTTGTACGGGGCAGTCGGGGATGGGCCTGTGGGAAGAGCAGGGAGCGACTCAGACACAACAGGGGAGGGGAGAGTCCCAGACGTGCGTGAAGGTTTTTCTGTCTGAGTATCCCCCGTCAGCGGAGATGCCCCTTCGCTCCACAACATGAAGCGTCTGTTACATGCAGAACAATTTCTATCCTCTGTGTCCCCCGCCCCGTCAAAGGAAGAGTCTGCTCTCTATCAAAAAACTCTCCCTGGATTACAAGCTCAGATCCTCCTGGCAGCAAGAGGGGAACTGCGAAGACAGTCAGACGGTCAGCAGGGACCAGAGCAGGATTAGATACTGCACGTGCCTAGGGGCAGGAACTGTTATTTTCCCCTGTGTTCTCAGCCTGTGAAGATGTGGGGGGTGGGGAGGACATTAGGGTACCACTGTGAGGGACCAGTCTGCTCAGCTGTGCCCAGACCCGGCCCGGTCCGTCACAACTACTGCAATGCCGACAATAACGCTAAGAGTAATACTGATGTTCTCTGCAGGGTTACTGCAGTGAGTTTACAGAACCTCCCGAAGTCTGCACCGTGGAATACAAGCCCGTCTGTGGCACTGATGGCAACACATACAGCAATAAATGCAACTTTTGTGGTGCTGTCTTGTAAGTAACAGACTATACCTCCTATTTATACCATGTAAAATGCAATTGTGATGCCACTCAAACCCCTGCCTGGGCTCCACGGTTTCTACCTCATGGAGAAGTGTTTCTTAAACTTACAGGGAATAGCAGGGTTGAGCAAGAAAAAAAAAAGGAGGCTTATCCCTTTAAGGGCAGCCATTTTGAATTCTGTTCTCTCTGCAGCATACCTCCAACTGCCTCACGGCGCACCAGTATGCCATGGAACACACTTGAAGAAACGCTGCTCTAAAGTGTATATAGAGCCCTCTTCTAATCTGATAGTGTTTGTTGGAGTATCTGAATGTTTCCCAAGTATTTAAATAAAAATAACACTCCTATCACTTTCAGGGGAGTGATCTGGATTGTGGGAAAGGGGGAACCCTGTGTACCTGAAAGGAAAGTAACTCTGAAATCTGTACTTGAGACAAGTAGAGTTAGGAAGGCAAGATTTCTCCAAGATGAAATTCTTTCTTTGCTTAGTTATCCTTTCCCAAAACATACATTGCCAATTTAAATGTGATTCTTGAGAGCTGCAAATATAACTTTAAGACCTTTGGGAATGAGGCTGGCAGCTAAGCCATTTCTAATAAATGTTGACTTTCTTTCCTAGACTAGAAGATCAATTCAGAAGTTGCTAGAATGGGAAAATAACAGATTATATCATAAGGTAAGAAATAGTAAGGACTAGAATCTATACATTTCCCACTTTTATTTAGAATTAATAAGATTGCAAAATTGGAATTCAGGAATGCTATTCACTTGTTTAGAACTAAAGCTAAAATACTAAATTTGACTCACAAACAGAGACTACTGAAGCTTATAATATGTTGTTGATGAGAAATAATGCAATAGTATACCTTTAATTCCACAATAATTATTTTCTTAGCTCGGTTTGCATTGGAAGCTGAGTAAAAGGAAATGTGAAACTAGCAATATGATGGAATATGTAAGTATTCTTTTTCTGTTACATTTTTTAGTTTCTTTCACTACAGTGTGGTTTAATACATCATTAACCACCAGACTCTTTACCCTTCAGTCTACTCATAACTAATTTGTTTTCATCAGACACACACACATAGCCTTTGGAAATTCACTATTTGTGTTACTCGCTAGAGAAATTCTTGGCTAATAAAATATGATCTTGTTTTGATACACAAAGATGGCAACATATTGGGATGTGTAAAGTCATTTAAAAATGTAACCATGTAACCACTAAAAACCTAGCGGTTACATGCGCTGCAGGCTCTGCAGTATAAAAATGTGTATATAAGCTTATAGTGTAGAGTTCAGAGCAATGCTGGCTCCCAAGGGCTGATGGCCCCGCTCCTGCACTGGATGAGGGTGGGAAGGAAAAGTGTGGCCCTTGATCACTTAACAAATTTTGGAGTGCCCCCTCCTCCTCCCCCATAAAAAAAATATTGCCCACCCGTATAAAGCCCTTTCCAATCATACCCTGGACAGAAAGGACTCTTTTCAGTGCCTGATATTATGTATCTTGAGAGGTTTTTTCCCTTTAAAATATTGATGACACAAGTCTGGGTGGTATAGGTTCTGTGCATGCCAGCCAAGTTCAGTAGCAAGCACATGGCAATAAATATATATAAAGCTGCATTAACATTATTCTAAATTAATCATTTTGGTTAATATTTTGTGTTTTTCTATTCAACAGGTAATACTAATAGAATTCTTACCAAAATATCCCATATTTCGACCTGACTGAGGAGCAGTATTCAGTCTTTTATGTTACCTGCCATTTCCTACTCTTAGTGCCTTGTAGATGATTTTGGAGAGAAGATGGTCTACTTTGCTGTGACTTAAAAATGTTATTTGAGCACGCTGGAGCCTGGCTCTTGTGTGTGTTGTTTTCTCTCTAACGCTTCCTCCCCAAACAGATGCTCTGGGCTCTGAGGGAGGGGCTGGCCAAGGGAGCCCTCTCATAGCCTGTCAGACTCACAGGCCTTGTGCTCTCTGGGCTCCACACAGCCCCTGGGAGCGGCCCCCTTCGGCGTGACAGCCTTCTGTCGAGGGGGCATCGTCCCGCGGGTCAGGCCCTCTGGCCCCAACGCCTCCCCTGAGAGCTCCTGAGCCGCGCCTCTGGGCGTTGTGCCCCGTCTCTCGCTGTGGATTCCCTCGGGGAGTTCACTCCATGTGGCCCCCCGGGCTACATGCCCACAGGGAGCAATGCAGCCCAGATCTCCAGACAAGCCTGACTCTCACCAGCCTCACACACAAGGGCTGACGAGCGCTTGACCCCAGCCCAGGCAGTTGTTATGGCCCTAGAGACCAGCAACCCTTCGCCCAACACATCTCGCTCTTCCTCACCTCCAGGGGGGCTCTGGCTGCTCTCGTCAGTCCAAAACCCCCCTCCTTTCAATTGATCACTGGTCCCCAGAGCTCCAGCCTCTCCTTTGTCTCCACCCCAAGCCAACAGGTCACTGGAGCCCTCTCGCTTCCAGCCTTTGTTCCCTCTTTGGCTGGAACTGGCTGGTCAGGGACTTCTCTCCTCAGCCCACTGTCCTCCTACTGGCCAGAACCAGCTGCCTTCCAAGCCGGGCTGGGGGTCTCTGTCGCCAGGTCACCAGCTGTTAAAACCCCCCATCTTCAAGGCACTGACTGGGTTTCCAGTTGCTAGGTGAGAGCAGACCTGGTCACGGACTCGTAGAGTCTTAGAACTGGAAGGGACCTCAAGAGGTCATTGTCCCCTGCCCTCACGGCAGGACCAAGCACCGTCTAGATCAGCCCTGACAGGTGTCTGTGCAACCTGCTCTTCTCCATCATTTACAGAGATGGAAATTTCACAAACATCCTAAGCAATTTGTTCCAGTGTTTAACCACCCTGACAGGCAGGAAGATTTGTCTAATGTCAAACCTAAACCTCCCCTGCTGCAGTTTAAGCCCCTTGCTTCTTGTCTGATCCTCGGAGGCCAAGAGAACAATTTTTCTTATGACACCCTTTTTGATACTTCAAAACTGCTATCATGTCCCCTCTCATCTTCTTTTTTCTAAACAACACAAGCCCAATTCTTTCAGTCTTCCCTCATCTGAAATCACAAGCCCTTTCCCACCACCTTGTGAAACATGCAACACACAGAACCTGCAGCACAATGTAAAACCCTGCAAAATGTCCCAACTTCATCCCATCGGGTATACGAGAGAGCAGTGTGGTAGACACTCACTAAAGTCAGATCTTAAGCATGAATTGGGAGGCTGCCCAGCTTGTAAGAGAAGGTCGTTGGAACTACTGTTAGGGTAGTGTCGCAGAGTCGTAAGCTTAGCTGGCGTGTTTTCTTTTATTTTGCTTTGTAACTGTCTGTGATCTGTCTGCTATTACTTGCATCACTGAAATCACTTACAGTAGTTTTTAAAGTAGGGCCGGGGGAAAGGCAACAGGTGTGGAGGGGCACGTGGATTGGACAGAGACATCTCTTAGGTGAGGGTCTATTAATGGAGATTCTCTGTGTCCCAGTAAGGAGGAGAGGATGGAAGAGGATATAATACCGGTAAGCTGTGAGGAGAAACCCTCAAATGAAAGCGAGACACCCTATTCACTTGTGTCAGGGAGCGGCAGACAGATAAAAAGTGACGTCTTTTTAGAATGCTTCTATACAAACACTGGAAGTCTAAATAACCAGATGGGTGAACATGAGTGCCTCATAGCAAATGAGGCTATTGATATAATAGAAACCTGGTGGCATAAGGATAATCAGTGGGAGATGATAATATCAGGGTACCAAATATACTGACAAAACAGAACGGGAGGCACTGCTGGGGGAGTGGCACTGCATGTGAAAGTCAACATAGAATCAAATGAAGTAAAACACTTAAAAGAGCCAAACTGTATCACAGAAGCTCTGGACAGTGATAAGAATGTCGCAGTAGGGACATAATGCCAACCACCTACCTCAGGGCAATTAGGGAGACACGAAAAATAAAAAGCTCTCAGCAATAATCCCCATATTGGTTGGATACATGTCATCTCTTGACCAGGTGCAGATAGAAAGTTTCTCGACACCTTAAATGACTGTTTCCTGGAGCAACTAGTCTTAGAACCCTCAAGAGGAGAGAGAATTCTTGAATTGGTTCTAAGTGGAGCAGGCTCTGGTCCAAGAGGAAACTACAGATGGACTACTTGGCAATAGTGACCATAATATCACTAGCCAATTAGCCCGTCATAAAACGGGATTTTCAGGTCTCTTCTCCACGTCCTATTCCCTCTCTATCTTGGTCTTCTCTCCTGAGTCTCCGGTCTCTCGCTCCATCTCCCTCTCTCCCTTCCTCCTACTGCCTCCCACTCTCTCTCAGCACTCCTCCATCTCCTGCCTCTCTCTCCATCTCTCTTTCTTTTCTCCCCCTCCTGCCTCTCATTCTCTTTTCCCCTCCTCCTCCTGCCTCTCACTTTCTCTTTCTCTTCTCCTCCTCCTCCTGCATGGGGAACGCGGAACCCAAACAGCTGTTTGTACCTCTTGCTCCCACGTGGCAGCCTGGCTGAGCAGCTGCCTATGAGCTCCAGCTGATCCCCTGTACCGTTTCCTTTCACCCCAGCACTGATCCTGCAGCCTGCCAGTTGTCCTCCACCTCCCCATCCTCCTTGGTCCCTTGCCTTCCCCCCGGCCAGGGTCTGTTCACGGCCAGAAGGCGGGGCCTGGAGCCACTGGCAATGCTACCGGGATCATCTAATGACCCTCGATTTACTGTAATGACGCCTTTTATCATCTTAATCATCCTGTCTCTGTCCGTAAACAGACACCCTGCCCCAAAGGCTGGGCTGCTCCCACATTCCAAATTCATCACACGTTGCACTCAGGCTGCGTTGGAGGTAAGAGCTCTGTCTGGGGCTAGCGTGAGTGAACCCCAATACAAAATTCAGCAGGTGGGGAGCTGGAGGCTTTGAAAGGGGCCGGGTCTCACACAGGCTCTCCACAGCTCACGGACAGGTGTTAATGCAAACACGAAGGCTGGTTCTTCTCTTCCCCTAAGAGTACACATGCCCACAGGAATCCATGCTGCTTCCTTTGGGGAACAAAGGAAGAAGAAACCACTGGAGTGCTCCTGTCCTGCCCAGCACCAGGAGCACAGCGGCGGGGCAGGCGGCAGCGGGGGAAGGGGGACAGACGCTGGACTGCTTTGACTTGCTTCAGCTACTCGTGGTGCTGCTCCCAGCCACTGAGGAGGCTGTGAGATAACTCAGGCCGAATCCCAGGATGCACAGAGATCAGCTCGGCCTTCTCACAACAGGGCACTATGGGATATCTACCCCACTGCATTGCTCAACTATCTGTGCTGGGGACCCCAGTGTGGGCATGGTCTGTCGACAGAATTAACAAGTGTGAAAACCCTCGGGTGACTTTTGGGTGTCGACGGAGGTTGCATAGACAAATGTGGGTAGTGAAGCCTCAGTCTAAGAGGACTGCTGGAATATCACAGACTGAACAGGGGGAAGGACCAGGCTTAACTTGGGAGGCTGCCCAGCTTGAGTGAAAAGATGATTAGAACGACTGCTGGGGTGAGAAGTTGCAGGGAACAAGTTCCTTGGAGAATTGGAGCTGGCGTGTTTTGTTTTATTTTTCTTACTAACTTACTGTGACCTGTCTGCTATCACCTTTGATACGAAATAAAAACACTTGTAGAAATATACCCAGTGTAAACAATGATTACCTGTGAGGGGCCAACAGATGTGCATCTCTCTCCTTCTCTGAGAAAGGGGACAAGCAACTCATGAGCTTGCTCTGTATAAAGCTTGTACAAAGTAAGACGCGTGTGTCCGGGTTTCTGTGCACCTGGGTGCTGTGTCAAGTCCTTGTGACTGAGCCTCACAAGAGCAGAGTAGAAGTCAGTGTCCGTGTTGCTCTGCTGTGGGCTGTGCCCAATCTCTGTGCCATTACTGGAAGAGACCAGAGGGTCAGACAGAGCAGGACAGGGCGGTGAGGTGTCCAGAGGGACGGTAGACAGGTTCAGTGGTAATATCAGCCCTTTAAGTGATAGTCTCAAGGGGCTCTCAGTGACCCAACCTGACACACCTCTCAGTACCTCCGACGACTTCCATGAGCTGCACGCTCCATCCATAACCTCCGCAGGGCACAGAGGACTGCGGGTCCCTCTGACTGGGCTCTGTCCTGTGCTAAGAGTTTGACCCTAAATATCTCTCTGAGCTTCTCCAGGTTACCCAGCATCACCCAGGTTGGCCTCCAAATCAAAACTGAGCTAAATCTGCCCTCAAAGTGGCCGTGCGGCCCAGAGCGGGGCTGAGTAACTGGGCTGGTTTGGAGGTGTCATGATCATGAGAGATGGCCAGCAGCCTGGGGACTGAAGGGTTAACTCTACCTGAGCTGGGTAGAATCGGCCAATAGGAATGTAGATGCGAATTTCAAAGTGGGACAAAGGAATTTTTGGTTTTTCCCTTTTGTCCCCTGGCAGTTTCTCTCCAGCTACTGAGGAACACAATGTCTCCCTTCAAGAAAAGACTCTTCACTATGGGTGTGTCTAAACTACATGGCTCCGTCGACGGAGCCATGTAGATTTGTTTGTTCGGCAAAGGGAAATGAAGCCGCAATTTAAATAATCGCGACTTCATTTAAATTTAAATGGCTGCCCCGCTCTGCCGATCAGCTGTTTGTCGGCAGATCGGGGCAGTCTGGACGCTCGCCTGCTGACATGAAAGCCCTTTATTGACCTCCCCGGTAAACCTCATCCTACGAGGTATAACGGGGAGGTCGATAAAGGGCTTTCAGGTCGGTGCGGGAGCGTCCAGACTAGCGCGGACAAACAGCTGATCAGCTGTTTGTCGGCTCAGCGCGGCAGCCATTTAAATTTAAATGAAGCCGCGA